ATAATAATAATAATAACATACAATCCTCATTTCCCGGTTAGTAATTTACAATACCCACCCCACCCCACCCCACTCCCCATATAGAAAACAATACGACATAGGGCTTCTTATTTATAATATAGGCCACACACATGTGTTTCAAACTAAATATAAGCATCATGGTTGTATTTATTACAAACACATTCTTTCACCATCTGTACACATTGATGCCCTTCTTTTAGGTTAAAATGATCTATCTTAAATTTGTCTTTCTTGAGTTTGGGACTATTATGTGTTTAAATAACTTAAAAGGATAAAACTAAAAAAAGCCCTAAAAAATGCGCGACAAGCGCGCAAAATATTTTTGTGTTTTTAATTCTAATTTCGTCGGAATTGATGAAAACTATCTAAAATGTGCAATTTATAGAGGAAATTGTCCTACCGTAACAAGAAATGCGCGCAAAGAATTTGAGAATTTTAGGCACTTTCTGAGGATGCATTTGTCAAGGAGTGGAGAAAGATTTCCAAAGATGGATATTTTCCCCTTGACCCCCGGTGTTTTCAATTCTAATTTCGTTGGAATTGATCAAAACTCCCTAAAATGTGCAATTTTTTTTAGGAAATTGGGCCATGTTAACAAGAAATGCGCGCGAAATTTGAGGTTTTTAGGCACTTTCAGGGGATGAAAGAGCATTTATAAAGGGGGGGGGTAGGGAAGATTTTTCAAAGATAGATATTTTCTCCTTGTCCCCCAGTGGTTACGCCGTAGGGCAGCCAAAGGAGTTATGACAGTTTTTGAAGTGGAGAAGGGGTTGCATGGGTGTTGTGAGTCTGGTCATTATGATATCTTCCTTTTTATTCTTGTCTTTATTTTTCTCTTCTCTTTTTCTTTCCTTTTCTTTTCCTCTTCTTTCTCTTTCCCTCCCTCTCCCCTCTTTCTTTTCTTTTATTACCCAGCCCGGTACGACGGCTTGGTCGTCCCGGTAAAAACTGTCAGGGGAGGGGCAGTTTTACCCCTGCCCCCCCT